CTTGTACTCCAAGGTCAAGTCTGAAATTGAATACTCGGCGGCCGTGTCTACGCTCTTAACCACTTTGCCGTGACTGTTAAACATCAATTGATAGGTCAGAGGCTCTTTAAAAGCCGACGGCTAAAAGGGCCCATGATCCGTCAATAGCGGTACGTCTAGTACAATCGCGTAACGATTTTTAAAAGCGTCTGTAATGGCCTTGTCTTTGCAGTCGTTTAGAGCCGCGTTAACGTCGGCAGCTCCTAAACGTAATTTTGCCACATTTTCCCTTACAGGCTAAAATAGGCCATATTTTTTGTCTGCGACAGGGGCAAACCAATTATCTTTAAAGTTATGAAATATATCTTCGTCGCAGTAGCTTACGATTTTATTGCTGTGTAAGCTAACGTTAAGTTCGTTGTATTTGCACAGTAACTCATGCTTGTGAAACGTTTGGTGTCTCATTTTGATCAGCACGTTTGAATCTCTAAAAGCATGTCTCCCTGGTGGTCTATGTAGGCACACACGTCGCCCAGCATGCCCTCAATATTTGTTTGATCCGTCTGAATCTCTGCCAATTGGTCTTTAATTTTGCGATCCATGTTTAAAATACATATTTTAAAATGGCAAGCGCTCTAATGTTGGCAGGAGGAGCCATAGTCAATGCTTTGTCGTTTACAGGCTCAAATTTTTTATTTAGTAGTCTGAGGAAAAACAGAGTAGACGAGGAACGAAATTGACATGACTTAGCTTTGGAACAACTTTCAAAGGCCAAACAAGACTGGGAAAAAAATGGTGTTCGTATGTTAGACTTTTTAAACAAGCGCATGAGGCAGGAACGCGCAGTCAGCAGACTTTTGTAAACGTAGACGAAGCTTTAAGAGCTTACGCTGAATTGACGGGCAAACAGGTTGCGCCCCTGCCGCCAGAGCCCAAATTCTCTGATTTCTACAAACTACAGAAGGCCGAAAAGTTCGTGCGTTAATATGGATTTTAGGGGGAAACGGCCTTGGTCGTTTTTTTTTTGCCTACCGATTAGCTTAGCTTCAGTTTAACCGACTTATTTTAAATGGAAAAAGAATTTTCAAAATTGTTTTATAGCCCCGAAGGTTACTGGAAGGGCGAAAGTGCCGTTGACCATTTGCATCAAAAGACGGCCACAGAAAAATCGGCCATAAAAAACTTGTTTTAAAAAAGCAGGCAATTTGGCAAATTTATTTACCCACGCCTGGATACGTACCCAGGCTGACGACGCTACAATCCGAGTTTGTCAAACCGAATGAAGCGCATCAATTGGACATTTTATACTTGCCCTGGGACCGAGTAAATAAAAAAACTTAAATATAAATATGCTTTGATCGTAGTCAATGTGGGGTCGAGGTACAAGGAATCCGAGCCGTTGACTAGTAAAATGGCCGAACAGACGTCGGAAGCCGTTAAACGCATCTATGAAAGATCGCCACTGACTTGGCCTAGGTTAATTGAGGTAGACTCAGTATCAAAATTTAAAGGCGGGTTTAAAAAGTTGTTTAACAAACATGTAGTCCAGAGTCAAGTGGGCGAACCAGGGGTTCATAGGTGGCAGGGAATTGTCGAACGGTTTAACAGGACTTTGGCTGAGCGTTTATTTGGCCATCAATATGCTCAAAAAATGTTAAATGTCGGCGAACGAAACATGGAATGGGTACAACATCTGCTCCAATTAATTGCTCAACGAGGAAAACACCAGGTTGATTGGGAAAGAGCCAGCAGAAGCCGTCAAATTAGACAGCATGAAAGAAGCGCCCAGTGTGCCTCCTAGGAAATCCCCAAAAGAACTTGCTTCTGACGCAGCCATTAGATATCTCTATTACCCCGGGGAACAGGAGGGAGGCACGGTTAAAAGGGCAACAGATCCTATTTGGTCCGTGGACGTTTATCAGGAAAAACGCATGAACCAGTTTAAACGGGTCGGGGATAAATGGGTTAAAACAGGGCCAACTTTGTCCTACTTACGTGAGGGGCCAAAGCAGAGTTTTGTGAGAGAAGAACTTCAAGTGATCCCAGAAGATACAGAATTACTGCCTGCTTGAACTGCTTGATAATGCTCGTAAGCTGAAGTGTTCATCCCGTCTGGTAATAAATAACGCTTTGTGTCCAAGGCCGAAAGACTTAACTTATTTTGCGAGACCATGAATAGCAGATGCTTATCAGATCTGAAAAGCTGCTGTTTGTTGTAACATTGCATTTTTTCAAACAGGGTGTTTTTATAGGCCTTGTGTGTCAACCTTTTTTCAGTTACGACTTTAGTAACTCTTTTAGCCTTTTTCAAATTTTGGTGTTCAGTTAAAATCGAATACATTTTTGGACGTATGCAGACGACTTCTGAAATTGCTTGTCCGCCAAACCCATCTTTCATTTTGCCAATGACTTTTTTATTTTTCGTATCGTGAAGTAGATGATCCGGCGGGTAATTGCTAAAGTCAAATAACTTGCACTTTTTACGCAGGTATTTGGTTACATTGTTCGTTTTAATCTCGACTAATAGGCTATCCGTATCAGTATACAAAAGACCGATGTCCGAGTCAAAGTAGGCTTACATTTCATTGTAGTAAAAATCGTACATCAAAGCTTTGGATAGATCTAGCACGCTCACTCCGCAATATACAGGCTTATTTGGCTTTGTTTTTATGTGATACATTCGACAAATGAAAGCTCGCACTCTTTTTTTCATTTTATAATTTGGTTTGAAAATTAGTCGCTTATACTTGGCAGCGTCTTGATAATCTCTCAGTAAATGCCCGTCGATACAACAGCAAACATTTTCCATCGTCTTTCCAAAGACTGAATTATTCATCAATTTGAAAAACTCTTTTTCGAAGTCAGACTTGGCTAATTTTTGCAACTCGTTTTTTTTTGTCGCTGTAACTCTTCATCCAAGGTGCCTGTTTAAAAGACATTGCCCGGTCCACCTCTTATAGCTGCAAGCCGAGTTCCAGATATTTTTGTAACGTTCGATAATGAACCACGTACATGTATTTGTGTTTGATGCTCAAAGTGGATACGAGCTTGTCTATGGAAGTAATTCTCTCTACGTTTTCTATAAAATCGTTTTGGTAGTCTGAGAACCACTCATTGGGAACCAACAAATTTTCAGGGGGTGGGAAATCGTTGTGCTTGTCATGTAAATGTAAATGAGCTTGGCAACTTCTCTAGACAGCGACTGCACAAATTTAAAGGCCGCGTCTTGGCCTCTATAAGTTTCGCGACTAGTGCAGATTCTGTAACATCTCACAACTGCGTATAAATAGCCTGAAGGTTTGTGAATTTGTGTTTTGACCGTGTTCGACTCTTTTGGTGGGAGGCGCTCTAAAACAGATTCGAAATCCGCATAGATTACGAAAGGAGCGTCTTGCTAGTTTTTATAGTTTTCAAATTTGAGAATGTTTTTGCCCTTTTCGGGAAGTACCACCTTGAAAGGGGCCGTGTCCATCCCTTGACAATCTTCTTGGCGTCTGTCTAGTCTTTCTTTTGTTTGAAAGAGAGATAGACATTTAAAATACCAGTGTAATTTAGCTTTATGTTTAGTGACGTCACACATCAACCAAGAAAAGTTCTTGACCCAGCAGTAATGACTCGTGTCACCTCTGGTAAAAGAGAGTAAATTAACGCGTTTAGTTTTGTAAAATATATAAACGCCTTCTTTCTCAGTATAGCCAAATACGTTGGTGTTAAGGTTGTTTCGTGATTCGATTCATGAAATCTGTGACAAGGGCGTGGGAAAGTCTACGTTTGCAAAATTTAAGCTGTCTGCTGTCGTGTAATTCGAGGTACGCTCGTTGTTTATCTTATAATTTGGGTTGGTTTCTAGCCGATGTTTGACACTGTCTGACAACTTTGTAAACTTTTTATAGAAATCAAAAAAGTGAATCAAGTCGTCGGCAAAGAAAGTAGGTGTCAATTCCCAGTTTCTACAGTTGCCTTTAAAACGTCTGATTCTTCAAATGTTGACCTCTTCAATCACTTCCGGGTTATCGTGTGATTTAATCACAGTAATTAGGTCTGTTCGCAAAATTTTGCCTTTTGTGCCGTGGACGTAAATTCAATGTCATTGTCTTGCACTATTTTTAAAAGCTGGTGATATGATTGGCGGGTTAGATTTCTAAATTGTCGTTGGCTTGCTTGAATTGCTTTTACGAGCTCCGGCTTTGAGTGACTTTTTTTAGCGGGTGGCGGTAATGGAATGTTATATCGTTTGACAAAGTCTACTAGAAACGATTTTTTCAATCTCCTAAAGTCCGCTAAGACAGGGTGGCTTTGTGATTTGGTTTCTCTGTTCATGTCTCTGTTTTATATATAGGTTTTATAAATTATCTCCTTTTTATTTGAAGCTTCAGGGAGGAGCTAGTTTTTAACAGGGAGTGGAAAGTCCCAGGGGAAGTCCCTTTTTGCTTGGGAGTCACGAGTGAAACTGGGGAAGTCCCTTTTGGGCTGGGAATAGTGGAGAGGAGGGGGCTGCTCTGTTACCCCCCGTTACCTACTACTGATATCGCGATAAGTTTTTATGATATCGAGATATAAAAAGTAATGAATATATCGAATATTCTTAATGCCCCATGGTATGGTCGCGACACCAAGATAATGCAACTGAAATGTTGATCCCCTTCAAGGAAGCTTACATAGTATGTGAGCCGATTAATGCTGAACAGCAACCAAAGCTACATGCATATGATGGGACGAGCATTTGTGAGACATGACTTCTTAGATGGGCATCCGTATGTATGGATTGCAAGGATCAAAACTACTAGCACATTGTATAGTATGCTGTTTGTGATCTTGTGCCTCTTCCTTTGCCAACTCCTCAAGAGTCTCAAATAAGTAACTTTGCACTATTCAGTAACAAAGGTAGAACTTTGGACAGGCTTGGATTAGGCACTTTCTCCTTTCTGTCCAAAAATATGTAAAGTGTTCCAAACACCACAAAGAATTAAGGGGGAAAAAACATGTCAAACAGTAAGGTTGGCTTTAAAACAAGTTCTTACCACTCGTCTGAATAACAGTGAATCTGGATGAATAGACAGCATTCCCAACAACTCCCTAGTGGTAAATATCTGAAAAAAGAAAAAAAAGAAAAAAAATGAAAAATTCATCAGGGATTGTATGTACTGTAAACGTATACATGTGTGCGTAGCTGTGGCCTGGCCAGCCTTGCATTGCGGGACAATGCTTGGAACTGCGTTTTGAAGAAGAAAACTGGTCCCCACAATGTTTACATTTACATGTAAGTTCCCACAATAATTAATGATCATTCTACATCCCAACAACTACAGCATGTCAGCATGGTTTTACATGTCTGCATGGTCCTATTTGCAAACTCTACACACAAGTACCCCAGAATGGTTTCTTTAATACTTAACTAAATTTTGCCCATTTAGTAATGGTGCACCTGTTCCAAAATCCACAAACAAAATATGAATACTGAACATATTTTGCAAGCAGTGAGATGCAATTCTATTGCAACTAACCCCAAACAAGTGTGGGAAAGGGGAAAACGTCCCCATTCCACATTCTTTCCAATGTCTCCACAGTGCACTTTAGGCAAACTCTTTACGGTCATTTTGACACCAATTTTTTTAAAACTTTAACCATTTGTTTTTTCAGAGCAGCCATTTTGCCGAGACAGGTCAGCCTAAAATATATACTTTTTCCAATGTACACTGATGTAGTGCACAATGCATGCAGGCTGGCTTGCCTGTAGCCTGGAACTTCAAATAATAGTAACAAAACAATATGTTTGATTGAGTTCAAACTTCCCATTTGTAATGAAAAGTTTCCATAAAATTGGCACGCATGTACAGCTGAGTTCTTGGGGGATGGAAAAATGCACCCACATTCAGCTGTGAGATGGTCCAAAATATCCCAACTCCTTGAGGGTTAAGTGGTCTACATCTTCAGTTGTCAATACCTGGTCTTTTCCCGTCTCACTTTCTGGGAGAAAGACGGCTAGAGTGTATTCATACTGACATCGTCTAAGATGGTCTGCTACTAAACTATTAGCAGCTCTGTGCATTAATGGGCTACTTCCATCATCTTGAGTGCCTGCTTTTGGTGAAGTTGGTGGATGATGACTGGAATAGGAGACAAGCAGTTCATTCACAAGTTTAGTCCTCAGTTCAGTCTGTAAAGAATGTCAGAATGATAGAGTCAGAAACTATTCAGTTATAACAGAACCAATCACTTACTTCACTAGACTTTCACAGACTTGACAGATTTAATTTTGCATGGAACTTGACTTATTGATGTGTTTTTAAATTCATACACATGCACATGAACAGACTTGTAATATAAAAACAGAAGATCCACTTTGCGCAACGCACAGCTTGTACTACAATTTCTACAAAGCACGTGTTCTTTTGAATTTTAACTCCAAAGGTCCACTCATGCCAGACTTGATACCAAAGAGAAAGAAAGAACACTAATTTCATGTATTAAATGTTGAATACTCTCAAACGTTGAATGCATGTTGGATTTGACAAAGTTGCCAAGAATGTTTCAGGACCTCAGATTTGTAATAGCAGTCACTTTCAAGCCAAACATATTGACAGCTGTGACAAATGGATTAATTAATTCCTACCTTGAGTGAGTCCACTACACCTTTTTGTCGGAAGGAATGGTAAAGTTTGGTTTTGAGTTCCTCAGCAGTCATACTGGTTGAATCTGTTTGGAACTTGGCCATTTCTACAAAGAATCCTCGAAGGTCACATCCGAGTACACCCCTGAAACAACAAATTTAGAACAGATTTTTGTCGGATATATGTACTGTTTCTTGTATTTGGTACACCATTCAGTTTTTGTCAAGGCAAAATTGACTGCTGATTTAGCTCAGTTCAGTGAGCGTGGACGAACTAATTCAGGAACGTCAGGCCTTTCTTTTAACCCTAACCATGCTGAACCCTGTACCCAACAAAGTTATGCAGGATTGCAATGGTCACTAGGGGGTTAGGGTTTACCCTAACCATGCAGAACCCAGTACCCAACAAGGTTATGCAGGATTGCAATGGTCCCTAGGGGGTTAGGGTTTACCCTAACCATGCTGAACCCAACAAGGTTATGCAGGATTTCAATGGTCACTAGGGGGTTAGGGTTTACCCTAACCATGCTAAACCCTGAACCCAACAAGGTTATGCAGGATTTCAATGGTCACTAGGGGGTTAGGGTTTACCCTAACCATGCTGAACCCTGTACCCAACAAGGTTATGCAGGATTGCAATGGTCCCTAGGGGGTTAGGGTTTACCCTAACCATGCTGAACCCAACAAGGTTATGTAGGATTTCAATGGTCACTAGGGGGTTATGTGCACTGTATAATACAAAGCCACTAAAGCCCAATTTGTCATATCAAATAGCCATCAGTATTTGACAATAATTGTTATCCGTTATTAACACATGATTTCACAGAGCTCCCACTGCCATGTGCATGAACAAATGCAAGTCAAAGTTTGTCCGTCACAAAAATCCACAGTACTGCACAGTCCTATAGTGGTCTTCTTTCTTCCTAACTTGTGGCAAATGTTATTTCCCTTAAAATAGAAACCTGCAGATACATGTAGTTTGACAGGCCATTCACAGCATGTCTTGTTGGCACATGCGCGTCAATGACTGATTCCTGAGCACAGCAATGTCTGGTAGCTGTGATCACATCGAAACTGTGCACCACTCAGGAATCATCAGTCGTCAGCGTGCATGTGGCAACAGGACATACATGTATGCTTTTTGTGGCCACCAGGCTGGCGTGCCGTGAAGTCATCTCCAGGACATTAACATACAGTTTAAATCGCTATTTAAACTACATGTACATGTAGATGGCAACTTCGAGCTTGACAACTAAAACATTTCTGATTTGATGGAGAAATTTCTTTTTTTCCCAAATGTGAATAAACCTTACCATCATTATTGGAATCTCTGATTCTCACTTAATTGTAAGCCGGGTGCTTTAGACAGTTTAAGGATCATTTGGAGGGGAATTCAGAGGCTATTGATTCAGGGTATGAGCTATTTTGAGTGAAATATATTCATGGAATGGAAAGAAAGTTAGAAGAGCAGTGCGAGACATGCGGCGTCGTTCACGGCTTTTTGTCGACAGAGGAGGTGGACACGTCGAAGGTGTTGGTGCATAAAAGCTAAGGGCTGAATAATGTGCTCACCAGAGATTGGAAATTTCAGTCACTTGCAAAATGTTAACAGAGGGGATAGCATTTCATTAAAACTTGGTGTGAAAAACAAACAAACTATGAAACCAAAAACTTACAGAAAAGTTGGTTTTGTACCTTACAAACCAAAAACTTGGAAAAAGTAGGTTTTGTACCCTTCACCTTCGAAGGACCCTAACTCTGTGATATGTGACAATGTTGATGCAAGCAAGGTGTCAAATTAAAGCTGATGAGTTACTTTGTATTGTAGTAAACATTTCACAAGAATAAACCATGTATTCTTGACATACATGTAGCTGACCTTTGAACTTCGGCTTAGCCTATACTGCTGATATGGCTAGATTTGGCTTTGGTCCCAAACCTGATTGGCATCAAAACAAAACTAAAAATTTTGACAATATTTAAACAAGAAAACCACAAATTTCTAACCCGAGTTTGGCAAAAGACAACCACTCAGGCGGATCAGGCCATTTTGTTTCTCATCCACCGGTAGGTACCCAACTGAGGCATTTTGGATTCATGATTTCATCAAAACAAATCTCCATTCAGGTCAAGGAACCAGACTACATTCACTAATTTGTTGTCATTCACAGCTCTTTGGGGCAGCAATATGTACGCTACTATTTTACACAAAAATTTTCCTCAACCAAAAGCCCTGTTCTTTTTTCTCTCTGATATGAAAGAGAACATCACCAACATTGTTAGTAACAACTTGTTCAGATAAGTTGTTTCGAAAAGTAGAATTTGTTTCCTTATTATTGGTCCGAGTAACTTGGACCCTACAAATTGCCTTTATTTAACATATGGACCCAGCAAATAGTGGCATGACATGCAGACATGGCTGGGCGATAAATGGTCAAAGTTACTCCATGGACATTGATGGAGCTCCTTGGTTACTCGGACTAGGCCTACCTTAGGAACAGGCTGCTAAAGGCATGAAAGGTAATGAACGTTGAAGTTGAACACCGGTTTTGCAATCTTCAGGGTTTGATATGGTACACTGGCTTTCAAGGCCTATTTGAATTTCCTTGGTTTTTCTATGTTCTACCAATACCATGTCAACTTGTCCGTAAATTGGGCCACAACATGCACAAGAAGACAGCTAAACCAGGAATTTTACGCAAGGTTCGATGGAAACTGTGCCAGACAACTATGTTTACCATTACCAGGACGATATTAATGTGTTCTTACTTAAAAATGTGTCAATCCGGCGAACACACTCTGCCTGTCATGAGACCAAACACTGCATTTTTTCAGGCAGCACGAAGTAGCACACACCAGGCCCGCTCAGTTCCGCTGACTTCCACGTAGAATTCAAATTTCGCGTGAGAAAGCGCAGCGAGCGGTGTCTCGTTGTTTACTTGGACATTTTGTAGCCTTCTACCAAGGCGGACGTGGCATTCAACGCAAAAAAGAGACCAGTGATGCACGCACTGTGCGAGTTAGCGATGAAGGGTGTATGCCTTGAGTGAAGGCTAGGCCTTTTATGGCTACGGCTTCATATTTCATTTTTTACACAATATACATGGCAATAAGCCAAGCCGTAGCCCGAGATTGTCCGTCTCGGGCACCACAAGTCACCCGTAATTCCGACTCGTCGTTGCCTCGGTCACGATATCCCTCGGCTCGTATACAGGTTTGAAAACAAAATAGGAAAAACAAGTTTCTTCCGTTTTTTCAACGTAATCAAATTAAAAACGAGTCATTTTTCGTTTTTCCTAGTTGAAATAAAAAAAGTATTGACACAGGTCGTTTCTTGTTTTTGAAAAGGAAAAATAAAAACAACCACTTTACGGTGTTGTTTTCAGTGCGAGAAACAAATAAAATCGTATTCTACCGATGCACTTTAAGAACTTTTGAAAACTAAGTTGTTTCATTTGTGATGTAATGGACTTCTTAAAGCAAAACCGTAGCCCGTTTAAACTTCCTCCATGGATGAATTAAACCTGGCTGAAATAGAACATTAGTGCGCTGACCCCTAGCAATACTATCCACAAATATTGGCTGATTGGGGTCCGTGTTTACGCGTATGCCGTCCAAATCTTTTTTTCATTTTTCAAAGAAAATGAAAACAGTACCTTTTTCGATTACCTTTTTTGGTTTTCAAAAAACCGAATGCCCAAAACGTTTGTCCGCCAAGCTCATGCATAAAAGTCATTCACTCAAGATATTCTATCAGACAGTTCCGAGAGCCATGGAATCGGGCGATTGAAAAAAATATGATACTGAAACTCTAGCTGGCCGCACCTGAGCTTAAAGCAATTTGGAGGCCGGAAACTGGGTCAAAAAGTGGCAAAATTAAACGGGCTTCCAGAGTCTCCACGCATTTCCAATGGAGCAAAGACCTAAACCTAGCTCTAGACAAGAGATTTGGATGCAGCCCACAAACAAAAAATTAACGCATTTATTTATTTAAAAGCGTTTTAATGTCTGTGTGTAA